GGGTCATAACTTAATATTTACTGAGTGCCAGCAACGTTTTTGGTGCCATAAATACCCAGAGGAAGACTGTACTCCTCCTTTTCAGAGGATAGGGGTAAAAGGTAGGATTTAGTCTTGAATGCTCTTTATGCTGTCTGCCCACAGGAGAGAGGAGAAAATATTGTCATCTTGGGTCCCATTCTACATATTGGCATGACATTTTCATCTCTTTATCACTTGATGATACATGACATGAAAGAAACAAATGCATACATGTGTACACACACAAACACATACATTTGGAATGTACAAACAATTTTCTTTCTTTTCTGAAGAAAATTAAAGATGCACTGCTTTTTTGTCTGAGGCAGAAAGTCACAACTTTGGCAAAAGACATCTACTAGTAGCTTAGCAACTTCCATATAACATATTTATACTATTGACACACAGTTGAATGTTTTAAAATATGTAGACAAAATGAGGAAGCTGATTTTTTGATAACTAAAGACAAAAGTTGGGAAACTTTCCTAAAATATTTGAACTGATGATTAGAAAATGATATAAAATTAATGAAGGATGATCGTTAAGAGTCTTGTCATTTAATTTGATTTTATCTGAGAGGTAATGATATTAATTTATGGCTGATAGCAAAATGAGTATGTGACAGAAAAATATTGTTCATTTTAAAATTGTTACTTTCTCTGAGTGAAACTTTGAAGGAAAAGGAAAATCATAATGTCTTCCCTATCTGATAACTACCACTGACAACAGATTATAGGAAACGCCCAGGTTCAAGGAACTAGAGCCTGTTTTATTATGCTATGATTGTATTAACATAGAGGCATAGCTTCATCACTGTATTATTGTAAGAGAACCTTACAAAGTGAAACATTTGAAAAGGATAGAGTCCTGAAACTTAGAATAGTAGAATAAGAATTTGACTAAAAAATGTTAATTCTGTATTCCTACTGTGATTTTGTAACCTTTTTCTCGGAGAAACAACTCTTTCTTTGAGACAAGCCTGGCACAAATCAAAAGGAGCCCTGATTGCAGCAGCCAAGTGTATCTGGCCTCCTCTTTGCCCCTAAGTTACTAAAGCAACTTTATAAAACCACAGGGTCCCCAGGAAGTTACTTTGAAAATAATCAATCTTAGGATCATATCCTCCTGGCCATAAAATGACCTAGTGGAGTTAAGGACATGAGGACATTAGATATTAAATATTTCTTGCTCTGAGCCCTAGTGCACTAAGCATTTTTTAAATGAAAATGTTGATTATTTTGTTTTCCTGGGTTTGCAGTTACACTTTATTGATAAACCAACATTCCATCTCTTCTTACAACATTCTCACATAATGGTGGTGAATATTATGCCATCCTTGGAAAACCTATTTCTGTGTTTATTGTGGGTTTATTCTTTTTTAAACCACAAGACAAAATTAGTGCTTGTAGAGCTGACGGTATAGCCACAGGGACCTTGTCAAGTTTATGCCAAACTATAGGTGCCTTGCTAATAATTAGCACTCCTTTATTGATTGTATTAATGGGGCTGGGATGGGTCATTAAAATAATCTTTTATAGCTACTTTTGGTATTAGAAGTATCATAGAAGAATCATTATTTTTTAATAGAACAAAACAGATAAGTAGTACCTTAGTCCCTTAACATTATTTATCTTTGAAAACTTACTTTTTTTTATTGTGAAAATACTGTACAGAGGGGTTACAATTACACGGGCAAGATAAATGAGTACATTTCTTATCAAGCATTGTAGCCTCCTCCTTTGTTTCCCCTTCCCATCCCTTCTCATCCTACCCAGCCCTCACCCAATCCTCCCCGCTACCCCGCCCCTCACCAAAGTTGTAAAGTTCTTTTTTCAACATAATGACTTGTACATCTCATTGTTGCAATGGGTCCACCTGTATCCCTATTTAAACGATTTATTTTTTCCCCTTCCCCTCCACAAATTATACCAACATCAAATACAGTGAAAGCAGGGGTTATACTGTGGGGGAGGGGCATACAAAGCTACAAAGAAAGAATCTTGTAAATGTGTTAGAAACAATCGCATGAAAGAAAAAAACATTTGAATACATATCTTAGTGTAAATATGTTGTGTGCCTACAGTTGTTTTGACCAAGTTTTCTTCCCAAAATAATTTAAATAAATGTCTTAATGCCTTCAAAAAAAGAAAGAAAACTTACTTTTAAGTCCCAAATCTATTAGTTCTGCATCACTTTTGTTTCTTGAAATTTTGTGAATTATCAGTTATAATTTTAGTAGTCATAATGCTTAAGGATCTACTTCAAATATACCTGGAACAAAAATGCTGGAGATGAGCTTTCTCTATAATCTAAGCAAACTTACTCTTTAATACTTGTTATCTCAAGTCTGTAAAAAATATTAATATAATATGGTTTATTATGCATTCCTAGTTACAAACAAACAAATATTTCAAAAATGTTGAGGACTATCTTCTTAATTTAGAATATTTTAATTTAACGTGTCTTTTAGTGATCTAATGCCTAAGTGATGGTTATTTTATCATTGCTCAAAAATTGAACCAGAGCTAGTCCATTTTACTTTTTTTTTCAAATTGTATAGTTCATTTTCAGCATAATATCTAGTGAGTATCACTGCTGCATTTGTTCACCCTTTGTTCTACCACTTCTGTGCTCCCTCAGAATTACTACCTAATCCATTTTAAATGCTGAACTTTTTGGCAGCTGGGAAAGAGATATTTTTGCTGTCATATCACTCATAGATAAGACTTTGGCTTATGAACCAAATTGGAATAGAATGGGCTACAGAAGGAGAAAGAAATGTTTAAAAATGTATACAATAAAAGAAAACGTGTTCCCTTGGTTTCTATCATTTTGAACTTTGTACTTACAAATTGTCCATGGAGGCCTAAGTTATTACATGGTATGAGAAGTGAGAAGTAAATGTTGACTTTGAAGTAGTTAAACTGATGGATATCATCATCATTACCCATCATCCAAAAACCAACCAAGTCAATATTCTGAATTCTATCCAGACTTTGTCCTCCATGATGAGAAATAAACATGGTCTCTTTAGAGATTCAACCCCAGAATGGCATAATAACTATTTCAACCTCCTCACCATGATTCTCTGAGGCTAAAATAATGCATGCAAAAAATTAGAAGCTTGAAAATAATGTCAGCTTGTGTTATAACTATTATGGAGATCCTAACATTTAGTGCTAACTCATGCAGGGCTGGATGGAGCCACACTTTCTTTATTCAAATGATGACTCTAAAAATGGAGACTTCTAACAAGCCACTTAACATTGGAATGCCTCAATTTCCTCATGTGAAGATCAGGGCTGGTAACAGTTCTGGACTCTAGTGGTATTAAAAGGGTTAAATGAGATCTTTATGCAAAACTCTTGAAACATTGTCAGCACTCCTTCTCCTTAAATAATATTTAAATATTAAATATTTAAATATCTACTGTAATATCAAATTTTGAATAATTCTGTGACACCCGATTCCAGGTATTATCAAAGTTACTAAAAACAATTCAGACTGATGTTTACTGCTCAAATCACTCAGATAAGCTTATAGAAGAAATTTAGTTTCTATAGAAAAATTGTCTATGCTATATTTTAAAAAATCTGTCCCAAAGAGTATCTTCAAATTCTTTTTGTACTATAGTGCCATTTTTTAACTTTCAGGTAAATGCCTAGAAGTAGAGTTGCTGGATAATATGGAAGTGGGTAGTCAAAAGAAGGGCGAAGGGGGAAAAGGTAGAAGAATGAATGAATGAATAAATCAATAAATAAAAATATAGTGCCATTTTTAACCTAAAGTTCAAACTACTTTTAAAGGAATGACCTTATTCTTTGTCCTCCCAGGAAAGAAGGTTTGGGGATCATTAATTGACCAAATCATAGCAGTTCTCAAAACGAACTATATGATTCCTACCTGGTTTTGAATGTTGAAAAATGCCCTCCCCCCACCTAATGCTTTCTGCAAGGCAGGATCTCACTGGGGAGATCCTAACTAAAGATAATAGCATGATTTATTAAGTGTTGCCAGTATCCCATTTAGTATTAAGCAATTGCATAACAACCCTTTTAAATACCTAAGTTAAAAGTGAAACATCAATATTAAGTGCACTGCTACTGTAAAACCCATCCTTTGACTGATTTCCAGCAAACACCATTTAAGTGCCAACCTACTATTCAAAGAGTTTACTATTTTATTCTTGCTCCAAAATGGCATCAACGGTGATGGGGCGCTTTCGGGGGGATTATTGAACAGGTTTTTTTGCAACAAAGGAACAAGCTTGAGGAAATACAAAATACCCACCGTAGACGCTGGCATGTAATATCTGAGCTCTCCTCCCGGCTACCCACCCCCTAATCAAACAAGCAGCTTTATGACATGAGCAAATTGCAACTGAAGTCTAACTGACTTCTGCTGAACTGGCTTCCCCAGGATTTCCTGTCCAAAATCATAGCCTGGACATCTGTAGCTAAATGGTTACAAATGGTGGGTTAAGCGAGGCTTTCCCACCCCCATATTTTTGTTCTTTTTTCATGTTTTGAATCGAATTGACAAAACCCTGTCATTTGCAGAGACTCTCTCGACTTCTTTTTATTCGCTTTCTTTTTTTTTTTTTTTTTTTTGGCTGGAAAAGGCCAGAAACAAAACAAAACAAAATAAAAACCCTCCCTGGGAAATAGTATCTATTTGTTCAAGGTGTTATTTCTCCCCGTGAGTTTATTTACAGATTTCTTAGTGTTTAGCTTCTCTTGCCTGGTAATTACCTACTGAAAGAAATCTCCTCCTTCAGGGCGAGCTCTTCCTTTAACCCTTTTTTTGTTTGTTCATCCTCGGAGGCTCTCAAAGAAAGCGCAACTGCAGTGTCTGGGAACCCACCTAGAGGGCCCCCTTGACGCCAGCACTTTCCCTGTCAGGCAGCAGTCTGCAGAGCAAGCGGGTTGCTGCAGAGTTAATGTACAGTACCAGGGAGCCTGCAAGTGTCCTGAGCTGCTCAGAGCTGGGGCGGCACATCCCAGGGCAGAAAAGGTGGCTGCGAGGATTCCAAACGTTCTGCTTGCAAATTCAGCGAGAAGGGACTCCAGCAGGAGCCTGTTGCCATTGTGTTTTAAAAGCAGGCAAGGTCTGTATAGCTTGGGTGTGAAAATCTTTCAGAAGATGTCAGAGCATCAGAGTAAATGACATCTCTTGGGGCACTGAATCTGGGGTAAGGAAAAAGAAAAGGAGAAGAGCACAAGGAAGAGACAGTGGGGGAAGAAATTCTTAGACAACGTCTGACTTGCAGCTGTGAAACTCGTTGGCTTTCCAAGGCCAAAAATATTTAAAAGCCCACACATGATTTTGATACCAAATTAAAGGGGATTCTGCATGGAAAGGATCAATAGCTTAGTCATTTGACTTGAAGAGAATAGCCCGCCTTGTTCTGGGGTTAGGCAGTAGAAATGAATTTCATCACCACGGCACCTTCTGAAGTCATGATGGTAGAGAGTGGGAATCCTGTCTTGCAATGCAGAAATTACTCCTTGCCTTTCTACTTTTGCAGTGGAAACCAGCAATTCTGAGATTTGGGGAAGAAGTTGACTTTGGCTCTATATATGGTTTCCAATCCCTCTGCCCAGGTCTTTGTCCAACACGTCTCAGACGGTAGCACTGCATTAAAGTGACCACACGGGAATATGTGCCTAAGAAAGAAGAAAAAGCAATATTCATTTCTAAATGACAGCATGGCAAAGCAACCTGAACTTTTCCATTTCCCTTCTGACACTTCGGTCACAAGGATAACAAGAAACTGTCTTTTGAGTCCTTTTGTCCCACATTCCATAGTTCTTCCTTTGAGGATGCATTAATTTATACTCAAGGCAATTGGATTAAAAAAAACAAACCAGGACAATATTTGCCATCATTTAAGATTAGCAGTTTGACTGGTTATTTTAGGATGTTGACTAACTAATGGAGCCTAAATGGATGGACCTGTACCTGCAGGGTGCTCTGTGATGTTTCGTTCTTCAAATCCTGGAAGGGCTTTTATTGTTGCTTTTGGGGATTTTGGGGGGGAATCTTTTTGGAACTCAATACTTGTTGCAATAATTGCCCATGATAGCTGCACAAACAAAAGAGTTGGAATCATCTGTGAAAATCACTACATGTAACACAGGAGAGAAGGAAAATATTGATGACAAGAAATCTGCGAACATGATGCACGTGAATAATTTCCCCTTTAGAAGGCATTCCTGGATATGGTGAGTAATCAATATCCCTTTCAGCTTAAAAAATTAGACCCTGCAAATTCTATGACAAGTACCAGAGAGGGATTTGTCTGAGACAGAAATACTACTAGCAGTATGAGAATGTAAAACAACACACGTATCAAGTCAAAGGTTTTCTGAGAAAGTAGTGGTTACACAATTTTTTTAAAATTACTTTTTAACATAAAGCATCCCAAATAAGAAATCTAGCATGAGGACATTTAAAATTGCTAATATTTCATGGACAAAATATCAGATAAAAAGAAAGCTGTAAGAATAGCACAAAAAATTAAGGTATAATTTTTTAAAAGGGAGATTTGAGGTATATGTATTTTTCTGGTTATTTGGAAATACATATATGAATTTTCCATCTCTGCTATCCATTGGCCTGAATTTCCAGAAGAAGGTTAAAGGAAACTTGTTATGTTGACTCGATTTAAAAATCATTCTAAGATATATTGACGCCTCACATATTTAAGTTAAAATATTTTTTGCTGGAATGAACTCATAGAATTCTAATAGAAATCGAACACATACTTCATGATGTGTTCAAATTCTAATAGGACTTGCTCAGTGAGTAGATATTTGGTCCTGTATTAAGGTTCAATGCGATATATTAAGATGCCTTGGGGTATGCTATCATTTATCATTTTCTTATTAGAGTTTATGACTGATACATATAAAAATAATTGGTGAGGGTATGGCAAGGGCATGTTTTAAAAAATGCTTGCTTTTTATCGTTACCTCTAGGGTGGTTTTGGATTCAAATCTCCCATAGCAAAACTTCGTGAATGCATAATAAAGGCACTTGTAAATCTTTGTGTCTTTCAACATGAGTTGTTTGGGATACTGTATTGTGTTTGATTTTCCAAGTATATTTCTCAGGTAAATATTTTGGCTGGAAATTGGGATAAGTAATAGATATCCAAACACAGGCTCCCAAGGTTTTCCAGCTGGTTTTATGACACTGTTTTTAATGAAAGCCTCTAGATTGCTGAAGGTACTATCAGAATCACCTGCTGGTTTGGTTTTGGCTTTCAACTAAGAAATTCATTGCAGAGAAAGGTTGGAGACATCCTCTGTCGCTCTAGGCATGTGCCTGTTTTCTACCAATACCAGAGATGCTGAGCATCAACATTGTGGCGTATCTCCCTTCTCCACTGGCCACAGCCACTGTCCCCAGACTCGAATGTGTTTGTGAGGGAGTCTGGGTGTCATGCCTGCAAATCTCAGTGGCCCATTTCCAACTGCATCATCAGAGTTCCCAACTCAGTGGGAGCATTGGTGCCAATGCTTGTCCTGTCAGTGAGGGTCAGACGTCAGCATAAAGTCCTTGTTGTTCTTACCAAAAATTTCTCATTGGTACCCGTTAATCCTGAGATTTAAAGGTCTCAGACACTACCCTGGGTATATAGTAGGCATTTGTCAAATATTAATTTTAGTCTTCTATTCTTACACTTTTCTTGAAGGTTAATGTTATACCTCTTGAGATTTGTCAACAAGGGAAAATTAGCATTCTTATTTCTATAAAGTGTACCTTGGTACAAAGCAACAGTTTTTGTTCTAGCTAACCTTATTGTTGGGAGTGCATTTATTTATGCTGCAATAGGTAGGATGCATGTGTTCTTTGAAAGTCTAGCATTACAATTACCTTTTATTTTCTTGCACTAACCTCACCTCTACATGTGACTGGAAAGTAGTGAGCTATTCAACTCTAGTTTTGGAAAGAATGCAGATTTGCTTATTCATGCTCCTAGATTTGTAATACATAGGTTGGAAAGCTGAATAGAGAAGTTGAAAGTCCTGGTGATTTTCTTTTGTGCCCAGAGCTAGATAACCCTTCATCCATTTCACTGCATGGTATGCCGATGTGTTGATTTTGTGGACAGACTGGGCTAACAGGGATTGAAAGTGTTTTGTATACCATCTTCCTCCTTGGGCCTCTTAGAAGGATCGATTAATGAAACATTAGACTCAAAGGAAGGAGGTGATTTTTTTTCCAGGTGATCCAGTTAGTGTGTAGATGGTTCTAACTTCCCTAGTTATTGTCATTTTCCTACTACTTACAACCTCACCTTTTAGTTCCTCAGCAAGAAAGTCTAGGAGTTTGTTGACAGAAACTGTTCTTTCCTTTTGTCTCTGTTGGATCCAATTCTATACTCATGAATGTTTGTGTCAAGAAGGAAGGTTGGCCAAGTTATTCTCCCTTTCATTTCTAAACTATCATTTTCACAGATAGGTCTGTTTCTTCATAGAGGGGCAGACCTGAAGATGACAACAGATACTGATGACAGGGAGCAATAGACATATTACAGGAGATAGGTGCTTTGTTTCCAGGAGCCTTCACTGAAGTATGAAGGCCTTGAGCCCTTTGAGTAGGCAGATGCAGAATAGTTAGGATGTAGAGGTGTCTGCTCTGGAACAAGGAGATAAATTGAGACTTAGCAGGTCTGGAGTTGTCTTTCAAAGTTTACCAGCCATTCAAATACAAACTATCATCCTCTTTCCCTAAGGCAGCATGGTGATAACTGCACAATCCTATTACAAATTTGTTTCTTGGTTAAAGTTAGTAAATGGTCCTGTTACTTGGCTCAAGTAGTACCCTATGAGTACTGAAACAGTGGTATAAAGAATGTGCCTTTTTTATTTGAAACTACATTAAAAACATATGCTGGAAGATTTTATAGCAAAGGCTTCTTTCCGTTACACTTTTCAACTTTTTTTTACTGCCAAATCAAACAAAGATAAGGGTTTGCCTCATTGGATAAACAAGTACTGTAAAGGTCCTATGTTTTATTCTGGCTAGTTGTGTGAAATGAATGGTAGCCTGGCAATTTGGGAATTGGTCTTGCATTGGTCAACAGAAAAGAAATTCAAGCCAGCTTTCTAGGAATTTAAATTCAATCTAGTAGCAATGCAGAGAACTCTTTAGAACCTCTGTGGCATTGAATCGCATACAAGGATCTATAAAGAATGTTTTAACCCAGCATAACTAACCTATGTTTCAGCTTTTGCCTATATCTATATCTACATCTACTTATAGATGTAGAGATATACATATATAATGTGTGTGTGTGCATACGCATGCGCACATCATGTGTGTGTTTATGTATTTATATATTATAACTTTGCACAATCTATTTTATAAAAATGTGGTGATTTTATGCCAGATTTATCAGGTCATCTTAACAGTTCAATTTTGCGGTTGTGAATTTTAGGAGGTATTTTGTATGAGTATCTTTGCATCTTTTATAATGGACTCAAAAGATTCAGAAAGAGACTGGAGAATGACAAATGCAAGACCCCTGTTGGTGAGCCTGCTCAGTACTGCCATTAGAGTGCCTTCTGGGGTACCAGAAGAAGTTTTGAGACTAATGCATTTGGATAATGATTAATTTGGTACTTCAGATTTCATTTTCTGAGATAAATGTCTACATGCTCTTATGAAATTGTCCTAGTGATACTGAAAGCTGATCCCAAAGGAGGCAAAACATAGTGAAACAGTGATTGTAGTACTTTGACTAAATATTTAGGTCATTTTTAGGTCCCTATGTTCCTTTGTTTATCTTTTTATTCATAATTATATGATTGACATATATCTATACTCAGATAATCCAATGAACAAGTATTCAGAGGGAAAGAAAGATGGCTTACTTCTTTAGTGAATAGATAATTCTTCCTATGTAACCACTTAAAGTTTCATCCTTTAGATTTTTCCCTTTTTCTAATACATTGAAACTGTGGAACTCAACCCAGAAATAGATTTTCCAGAGTTCATTTTTGACAAGAATTCCAATTCATTTACTTTATTTGAATTTTATTGCATAAAAAAAAATACTGAGTTTAGTGGACAGAATTATTGACAATATTGCAGGACAGAATATGTTAAGTCTTGTGTAAAATAACTAGAGTTTTGCTCCATCTCATCAGCCTCAAATTCGTGCAATATTTACCTGTCATCTAATAAGATTGTAGGTCAGCTGATCTTACCTCAGTGACATCTCTTCCTCTTTGCAATAAATGTAACCAGGAAGTCTGGTCATAACCAGATATCCTCCTTAATAACGAATTTACTTAGGGCCAAATACTTCATTTATAAACATTTATTTTAAATAAAATTAAGATTATAAATTTTAAATCATGTATTTTTTTGTGAATCTTGAGCTGTCGGTAACATCAAGTTATTGTTTCAGACAGAAGTTCAGGTTTGGATCTAATATGAATTTTTTTCTAATTTTAATGAAATTAAGTAGAATTTTCAAGAGAAAATTTTTGGCTATTTTATGTCCTTTATTGTTTCTACCTATATTATTAATTTCTGATAATAATACCCTAGAATTTCATAATGAAAATAAGAAAAAAATGATTAGGAATTATATAATAGAAAGGTTGACACTGGCAATACCTATAAAATTTCAGAAAATAATAATATGTTTTAGTCATAGTAGTCTTTCTATGCTTGTAAAATAGTTAGTGTGCTTTAAACTGCTGACAGGTTGTATATTCAGTGGACCAAGTGGGTGGCCAAGCCAGGGAGGTCTTCAAAAAATCCCTGTGAAGAAAAGGAAAATAAAACCTCTCTCTTATGAAAATTAATCATCTAAGAAGACAGGATGCTTAACTTCTGTTATTTCTTCACTTTCCATGTCTTGTTGCTTACACTCCTTTTGGTTGATTATTATTCAATTACTTCTTTTATTGCTGAGGTCTTCAGGTTCAGAGAAAAGGAAGGCAATTAAGTGTAAAAGGAAAATAGTTAAGAATTCTAGGCTTAAAAAGGACTGAAGAGAATTTAATGATCAGTTTCTCACCACAGTTCAAATTTCTTTTGTTTTTTAACCTTTCCCTCTTTCTTCTCCACCTTCAAGCTTATACTATAAACATTAACACTCATTACTACTCTATCTAGCTAAATCTTCATTCCATCTTTGAAAACAATAACTCAAAAATACCTCCCAGTCATACATTAAGGACCACAGCTGATACTCTGATAA